AATTCCAGTGTTAAAAGTTTATTCTAAGTTTTGTGCTTGGGTTCTCCACTGCTTTACCATTCTCCTTCACTATTTTTGTCTTTCCTTCTCATGGTGGGAAACAGAAACCATATCTCATTTCTCCAATTCGTCTTACACTCGATTAGTCCCTTATTTTCCTATCATGCCTATCTTGTAGAACAAACAGTTTTCCTCATCCACCCATCTCTGCCTTAATATTTTGGTATTTGATTCTTGTAACTTGTATAACCTGTAACCTACTCATCTTTTACTGACCTAACACTTGCATTTCTTGCCTTCAGAAGCCATATCCAAACCTCTTACATTCCTTGGCTGTCTTCCTAAACCATATAATTTGGCATCTTTGAAACTCTCTGCAAATTCATCTTGTTTTTATCACTTTTAAGGCCTTCTTTCACTGTTTGTGCTTTCTGCTGTGTTCATTCCCTGCTGTCTGCAATTATGCCAGTCTAGAAACCATTTCTTCTGAAATTTCTTACTTGTTATCTCCCTGTTTTCTTCTACACTGTCCATTCTGTGTTCACTGAGATCCGTGATACTCCTGCTCTTTTTTTTATTTTTTTCAAAAACTCTTTTCAAAAACTTATTCAGAACTTTCTTTTAAGAATCCCAAGAATTGGAAATAGAAACTTTGTTAAACTGTAATCTGTGTTCAATTACACTCATGCATCATCAATAACTCAAAGCAGTTGAGTTCAGTGGCCTTGCACAAGCATAAGCAGGAGTAAGATTTACTGCAGAGTGCTTAGAAGAGGCAAAGAGCAGATAACCTGAAGGGACTTTTTTTTGTTCCATTTAGATCTAGTGCTTAATAGTGTTGCTATTAAGATGTCTTATAAACTTTAAAGACAATTCTAATGCATGGCACTTGGTTTCTTTTCCTGAATAGCTGAGTTAAACCTCACGAAGTTAAATGGTTGCTGATTGCGTTTGATGGCGGGTGCAATACAAAGCTCTTTGAAAACCATAGTGTAATAAGCTAGTAGTTGCACCTGATCTGTTTGCAGAATATGAGACGCATCAGCGATTGTAATGTCTCGTTTGGACACGATACCATCAGTGTGAGTGAATCAAATACTTCATTCACATGATATTGGATCAGTAGGTCCTCCAGACTTGGTAGCCTGCCAGTGAGGCTGCCACAATTTGTGCATTCATAAGCACTGTCCCTGAGTTTTGTCTGCCCCTTTCTGCACATCCCAGTGTATTAAAACAACTTTATCTTTTTGGGGTAGAAAACAATAATCTACAGTCCTTATGAATTACTAGATGCCATCGTAGTACTTTACTGACATTGTCCACCAGTTGGATTTAAATACTACAAAGAACAGTTCTTTACAGTATTTAATAATTTAACCTTTTTTTTTTTCCAATAACAGAGCAACTGTATATGCTACTGACGAAAGCCAAGCAGAAATTAATGGTTGTTTGTATTAGTCTTCTAATCAATACAGTCTGTTTTGTTGCTGCTGCTGTTTTTCTGAGCAGGATTTATATATTTTTAGGAATTGGGTATTTGAGTCAGTAACAAGATTTAGAAACACCAAGAAGATGTTTGTGCTCTGAAACAAAACCCAGACAAAAGCCAGTGTGATCTGTTATTATATTTGCTCCCACTGCACTGTTTTCAGTTGAATCATTCTTGATTTACACCAGGGTATCTAGTTTACAGTATCTTGGTTTCTAATGAACTAGCAATATGCCCTATTGCCGTCTTGCTAATCAAAAGGCTTTTAACCACTCTGGCCTTTTGCACAAAGTCATAAGAATCCTTTTATTGCCACACCATGCCATAAATTGCATCATTTAAAGTGTTGTACAGGGCTGTATGTGCAGTTGAGTGGGATCCCTGAAAGCACTTGTTCATGCATGGGTGGCGTGATAGTCTCTTGCTTTTCGTTGTAGAGAAGGAGCACTTAATTAACAGGGAAAAAATCACATGAACTGGCTGAAATAAGTGAGAAAAATTTGGAAATAAGTGGAAGAAATTCCAGTTAAGGACAGACATATTCTCACAGTCCTTTTCCCAGTAGTTCCTTATTTGATCTAATATGAATAGAATCACAGAATCACAGAATATTCAAGGTTGGAGGGGACCTCTAGAGATCATCTAGTCCAACCTTCAATAGCTTTCGTGTATTTGAATACATGCACTATATGTGATCCAAAAAAGCAGCTTTGTCATCAGAGATCAATCTTAGGTGTGTGTCTAGAAGTTTTGTTTGTTTAAGGATGTAATTTAGCATTTTCAGCTAATCTATAATCTGGAAACCTCCGTCTGGGTTCCACCCTTACAGTGGATAATTCTTTAAAAGATAACCTTGTCAAAGAGAAGAATTGCTCCTGTGTAAAGGGCTCTGTCTGGTCATGTATGTCTTGATCTGGCATCCAAAGCTGTGATCATCATTGCTGTGTTGATGCACGATTGCCTTTTTGCGGTGGTTGCTTGGTCTGGTGAGTCCGCCTAATATAAACTTCGCTAGGAGTTTATCAGGAGCAAAATCCTGAAAGTGAAGGATGCTCAAAGCTGTAGTTTCACATAAGCTGTGCTGCTTCAGATACCCAGCATGTTAATGGACCCTTTATGAAACTTTGCAAGGCTACATGTGGAAGAAGGCAGCCAGGCATGATATCAATAGCAACATCTGCCTAAGGTGTTGAGTAAGTGGAGATGAAAGTCTCCTTTTGTGTGTGTGTTTACTGGTCCTGTAAGTTGCCTACTTCAAATTGAGATGAGTTTGGAAACTTGGGGATTGAAAGGTTAAACTTGTGACAGGAGATATCCTAGAAGACGATACATTTCAAAATGCAGTGTTGTGTAGCTTAATGCTGTATAGGGACTGGTTACAGAGAGGCAGGATGTATTGGCCTGGATCTAAACGGAGGATGATGTAGTGCGAAATTGTAGGTAGATTTGGCTGAATCTCATGAAAACCAGATTAAATTAGCTCGTGTAGAAATACATGCTGTCACAAGTAGATTGCTCCCAGTACTTGACCTGGCTTGGTTATCTCTAAGCTGCAGCACATTTTGAAGTATAGATGTATCTTCTATGGCAAAATGCATCCAGCACAGCTGAAAGGATGTGTCCTCCAGGGCACCCTTGCTGAGGGTGCCCTCCAGAAAGACAGAAGGAAAATGTGAGCTCTCAAGTCCTCAAGGAAGGCTGTAATCATCTGAGCCCGCAGAAGATGCTAGAAGTAATTTTATGCAATTTCAGTGAGAGCTCCTTCTGTCACAAAGCCAGGCCCGAGGAAAACAGTGTATTTGAGCTTGCTGCAAATATGGTTTGTGTTTGCAGAAATTTGAGGTTATATAGAGTCACAGGGGATGCTCTGCTGCCTTCTGCACTGATTACTAGTGCAGTATTTGTAACCCTATAAACTGTGGTCTAGTAGGCTAAAAAACAGCAGTATGCCATATTGATGCTTCAAATGTGGAGCTTTTCATGGAAAAGTAATAGCATAAAAAAAAAATAAAACCAGATGTTTCTCAGCTTCTAAATAGCTCTTACGTATCTCTGTTCTTCTGATTTTTCCCCTTTTTTGCGAAGTGTGTACATTCAGCACACTGGAAATGAGGTCTTTGTGAAATATGTCATCTTGTAATGTCTATTAAATAAGGTCATTTACTAACTCATCTTTTTCATATGCCTTTTTTTTTGGGAGGGGGGAGGCATATGGAGTGTTCAGAAACTTCCCATTCACCTGCTTTAAGTAAAATGAGAACAGAAGAGATTTATTATGAGAGAATTTTTTAAAAAATATTTTAAGATGTTCTCAGGTATGTGTTGGTTCTATCAAAGTTCTTAATTAGGAGAAAGCAATAAATATTTTTCATTCCCTGCTTTGTTCCATAAAACTCAGACAAGAATCTCACTCATAATACTGTACCATAAAAAAATGATATCCTTTGGGGCAGTCGGTAAAGCTGCCGGGTTGCTGATGGGATTTATATTTATATAAATCCAGAATTTGTTAGTGTTCTGATTTCTAATTTTCCTAGTCCTTTACAACCTGTAACAATGCACTTAAACTAATATCCCAATTCATTATAACCAGTTAAGAAAACAGCAATATCTGGTCTCACTTATTAATTTACATTAACCCAGGCAAACAGGCAAGCGTAAGGACCCTCTAAGGACTATATTGCTTTTTAAACCTTTAGAATTCCCTTTTGTGCTTCCTCTGTTTTCTTTCTAGTTAGTTTCAATAAGCCCAATGTGTTTCTGGATGTGTCAGAATAGTTTTGAAAACTCTTGAAGCAAATCGTTCCCTTTACATTTTATAAGATGCTCAAACGTAAACACTTCAAACATTTTGAATTTGCCTAACATTTCAGCTGTTACAAATGATGTCAAAATACTGTAGCTCTGCTCTTTTTCTTTTGGAAAGAGAATTAGAACAAACTGGTTCCTTGCAGCGTGTAGTCTCTGCATTATTACTGTATATATGGTTCCAAACCATGAGGATTCTGTTCCTCTCTGGAAGTCGTCTGTCAAGTAGCACTAAACCTCTTTCAGTGGGAGTTCATGCTGTGTAAAATACATCACATTTCACTGCTAAACAACGTGTTATAACCAGAGCAATTCATAATAATCTCCTTGAAGCTTAAGTCCTTTATAAGCCTTCATCTGAGTTCAGCAAATCTCGCCAGCAAAATACTCCAGCGCTGAGACCGGTAGTGTAGCACTTCATGGATCCCCGACAATCCTGGAGTCATTTACAGCAGTTAGGAAGATATCTCCGGACTAACACTTAAAGCTGCTGTTTAAGAGGATTCTGTATTCCCTAGTGGCATAAAATAATAGCAGTAAATTTTCCTTGCATTTTTGGCAGAGTGCAGCTGTGCATATTGCTCGACACAAATTAACTCAATCCATTTCATCCTTTATTTAAATATATGCGATTTTATCTCATGCATATTGGTCTAGAATTATCCATATGCCTGCAGTATTTTTTTTCTTTTTTTTTTTCCAGTTTGTTTGCAAGCAGCTACTGTGCAACTGTGAAGCCCTGCTAGATGAAGCGGAGCTGCTGTGATGGTTCTTATAATCCCATTTTCAGCAGAAACATTCAAATAAAGATATGTAAGTAATTATTTCCAAATATTTCGTTCCATATTCACCTATCCTGTAGAGCTCGTGGTTTGTAATGAGCTTAGATTTTGTATAAAAACATAATGAGACTTTTTACTTATTTGAGCAAAGGTTTATTACCAAAGTTGATGGTGTCAGTTGATAATATGGCTGTTTGATGCAGCCAAACTGAAAAAATATGCAGTTAAAAACAAATTTTCTAGGCTCCTACAGCTATTATCTCTGCATATAAATCAAGCCAAGCAGGGCTTTTCCTGATAAGTGGAAAAGTCTTGTCAGAGGACAATACAAGTTAAAGTCCAAGCTAATGACTCCTACCTGGCACCGATCTGTAGGGATCCTTGAGTGCCAAAGATGCAGTTGAAGGCATACAACTTAGTTAGCAAGATCTGCTAATATTACATTTTCAAAGCATCGCTTTTCAGATATTTATTGTCTTTGAAATATATTGATAGTGACATTTTACTTTGTGATAGCATTGTGCTTCTAGTTGTAGATAATAAGATCAAGGGATAAGTGAGTATAGGCTTTGGCTTAATAAGCAAAATGTCTCTATATTGCAAAAATAAAATTTTATCTCAGCAACATATTTTTTAAATATGTATTTTTAGTGAATAAAAATGGTGTTCTCACAATTTAGTAAAACCAGATGAATGTATTGTTTCCTGGAGCCCTCCCTTCTCCTCTTAAACTCTTTGAGACTATCTGTAACATCAACTAGATTAGCTTTGGGCTGACAGCTTTTCCAAAGCAGTGTGCTGGTGGAAGACCAGGCCTGGAAAAGTTGTTTTGTGAGTGGAAATTTGTATTGATATTGGATTATTTTGCCACATGTGGTATGCAAATGTCCTGTGACTGAAGTAAATACAATTGTTCCTTACTATTTCGCTTTCAGAGCAGGACAACAACACAAAGTCTGAGCAGCAATAAGAGAAAGCCCTCTTACCAGCTATAGGCAAACTATATGCAAACTTTAGTCTCAGTATTGCCCTGTGTAATCCCCCACCCACCATTTAGTGTTTGTACTAGCATATCTAGACAATACAGGAAAAAATTTGCATGTAGTCATTATCCTCGGAAAAGTCTGAAACAGAATGGACCAAGAGAAATATTGTTACGTGCTAGACAGATTGCTCTTAACAACAACTGAGAAAGAAAGAAGTCTTGGTGCCTTTCTCTTCCATTCTTGGAGTATTTTCAGCTCCATCAGGACAAAGTTAATGCTGTCTATTTAAATCATATTTTAAAGGTTGATTGGAACTTTTTGTAATGCATAAGATGGTTCCCCCTCTGTGAAGAGATATTTCTCACTGAATGATGTAGCCATGGTTATTTTTTTTTTTTTAAATGTTGTCCCTTCTGGCCCCTCCCAAATGATATAAAACAGAAATTGTGTCCTAAGAGAAATAATTCTGCCATATTTGGCATTTGTCGTTTTGCATGTGTCACTTTCAGTACAATAGTGGGGTTTTTTTGTAAGTCATGTACTTTATTTTATGGATTCATTTTAAGTTCTTATATTCCAACATACAGTAGCAGGCAAAGCAAGGAGGCAAACCCCCACAGTGTTATCTTCAGACATTCAGAAACCTGACACAAAACCAGACTGGCTGTTAATATGCCAAGTTTAAAGATAAATGGTCGGCATATCTGCAGGTCACATAATTAAAAATTTATGCTTATAATAAGAAATAGTGGGAAGCTTTTTATTTATTTATCATTATATATCTTTTCAAGTCATATCCTAGAATCAATGTCCTACAGCCTGTTCAATTATTCTCAAAAGACCTTCCAAAGGACACAAAATCTACAGTAGGGAAACAGAACTCTATCTTATCTGAGGAAGCCACTAAAAAAAAAAAAACTATTAACAAAAAAAAAAGAGTGTTTAACCTTTCTCTAAAGTAATGTATTTTGCAATAGAAACGGTCTTAATATCATTCATATTGCCATCGGTCATTTCTCTTGGTTTCAGAGTCAGAGAGGAGAAGCCGTTGGCTGTAAGGAAAGAGTATAGGAGAAAATACTTATGAAGCCCAAGCAAGCAGGTTGTGAATCAAATAAAATTGTTTTAGAAGGAACTAATTATGTTTAAATAGTGTATTTCCAAAATTAAATTAAATTTGTTACTATTTAAATACAAATTTCAAGCCACCTCTTTTTACTTAGCGATTTGGTGTAATGGTGTCTCTTTAAGTCAAGTTATTTAGTGTCAGTAATTTGGTGTCTGTTTACGTCGAGACAGCTATTAAGAGATCAGCCCCTTTTGTCCTTTATTAGTTTTATTCTTAATACAACCGCAGAACAACCCACAACTGCATGTCACATTAAGTAGTCATTCGGTGTATTGCTATATCAATTGTTCATGAATTATATATAAGAAATACATCTGTCTCGGGAAACATTGAAAAGGGTTTTGCTTGTGTCCACAAGCCTAACTGATGAAGCACTTTTTCTACATCACGGTCACTTTTAAGATTCATATCAGCACCGTGGTAGCCTCTAGCTAGAATGAAAGTCATTCAGGATCGAGTGGCATCAATAAGGCCTTCCCCAATATTCATACCGTTTTCTGTTACGAGCTGACGCATGAGTTACTGAGATGACAAAAATTATTGCAAATTGTATTGTTAAGAGGAAATGGAGCCTGTTGCTACTGAATATGCACTTGCAAAAAATGTAGAAAGTTCCCTAACAGCTAGTGTTACAATATTGAATAAAGTCAAGCATGTTAGCTAACTATATGGATAACGTCTTCCCTGCTTAGTTCCCGAGAGGGAAGGAAAAAAAGCATCAACTATTGATTTTTTGATTTGATTATTATTCGAAACAACACAATACTATTATATGAGTTCTCAAACTAAATGATCAGAGACCCATGAACATTTTACTCTTGTATTTTTATATCATTATAGAGGATTGTGAGATTATCAGTCAAGGACTCGTGCTGAGTATTATAGTAATAACTTCTGATAAAAATCATTATGTTTGATATTAGCTATGAAACACGAATATTTATTGTGTATGTCATGGATTTTCTCTTCTGTGCATGGCATTTCCTGGGATTTCTTGGAGAAATAGCCTCCCTGTCTATGCTATTAAATACTTTGTGTGTATGAAAAGAATGTGCTGAGGCATTTTCCAGAGCAGCTGATGGAGCTCACCAGACCCCAAGCACGGATCAGGGTGCCACGTTGTTTAACTCTGGTGCAAAGTCACCCGTTGATTGGAGTTGACAGGGAAATGCCCCTGCTTTAAAAACCATCCACTAGCAGCAGAAACTCTGCACCAGACAGGTTGAACATCCGAGAGCTGCCGGCACGTTGAATGTAGCCTGGACAATTGTCAGATTAGTAAAACTGTTTGGGTTTGGGGTTTGGTTTTGTTTTCTTCTCCTTTGTATTGTGCTTAGCACAAGCTGGAAATATCCAGAGAGATGGTCACTTCCTGCTGAGTCAGAAGGCAGCAGAGCTGTTTGAGCACGGGGGGCCACGGGAGACTCGTGTGTCTCCTGCTCTGGGCTGGAGAAGAGATTGCAGGTTGTCTGGAGAAGCAGAAGTGATTAAAGAGCTTCTGTGAGATTCCTGAAGGGAAGTATTTTGATATGATTTTAAGACCATTCTTTCAAAGCATAATTTATCTCCTTAACTGCGGTAATTAATTTTTTTTTTTTTTTTTTTTTTTTTTTTGGTGTGAATTTCTAACACTTGGAAATATGTAGTTGCTAGAAGACATAGCACCTCAGAATGCTTAGGTATGCTAGTGGGTAATACTGGAAGTGCTTTAAAATTAACAACAGATCCGTAAAGATAACTCTGGGTTATTTTACAGAAATAATTTTAGTACATGGGATTTCTCCAATGTGTTTCTCTAAATAGAAATAGTAACATATGGGTATTTCCATTCAAGCCAGAGAAATTGGACAACTTCCTCTCTCTCTGAGAAAACAGACTGAAGGATCTCCCATATGGTATATTTGCTGTACTAATTTTGTTCCCTCCTTCCCACCAGTTTTTGCCTGTTTGGAGAATAGGCATTTCCTGTCTTCCCTGTGGGTGAACCTTCACAAGAGGTTCGTCTTCACAGAAAGTAAGTTCCTGTATATTTATTTATTGCTGGCTATTTTCTCCTTCTCCTATTCTCTTAAATACAGTTGGCTTGCATTTAGAGGCAAGTCTTTCAAAACTTTTGAAAACATCATATATTGTGAAGCTCCATGGAGATATTTTATGCAGGTTAATTGCTGACTTCATGTATGCATTTGTGAGTATTTCATATGGAAGTTAAAATTCAGTTGCCCCCACAAGAAAGTGTGAGTTGAGTAATAAATGGATGGCTTGATAATCCTGGCAAGGATGATATTCCGCTAGTGAGGGGAAGAAGAACAGATATCCCATCTGCTTTGCCCTCTCAGCATTTCTAACGTCTGGTATCAAAAGAGTTTCATCAGCAACTAACAATTTTAGCTTCTTATGCACAGTTTGTGAATGCAGCAGTTGATAGGTGAGTTTAAAGGGTGGCCATCACATGCCACAAGTCACTCACCTCTCATTCAGGGCCTATGGGGAAAGCCCGTGGTCTGCAACTCAGCAGCGATTAGTAGCAGGCTAAGCAAGCAGCAGTGGCCTTGTGCTCTCTCTGGCCATCCGTGCAGGCTTGCTCTTTTTCAGTCTGGTTTTGTGAGTAGCCTCCTCTTGCTCGTCAAGCCAAGATGCTCCCTGTGCTGTTAAGTCTGTGCAAGTCCCACTTCTAGGACTGCCCTGCAGCGGCCAGCTGGAGACTGCTGTTTTTTCCTGTTACCTGGTCAAGTTACTTCTCTGTCATCAACTTTACTCCCTTTCTAGCAAAGCAGTCTGAGTCAAGCAGAGGAGACAATAAAATACAGGTCAGCCTGGGGAAGGAAAAGACAGAAAGTCCAAACTGGAGCTGCCTTAGGAATGCTAAGCCTACAGGAATAGTGAATTCACTCCTGCAGTCCTTGCTTTGATGGGACCAAGAAAAGTGGTTATCAGACAACAGCAGGTGTGCTCATTCCTGGATAAACTGTGAGGGATGCTGTTGTCATTGAACGTGTCTAGCTTGTTCGTATTTTGTTCTGAAAGCTGCTTTGCACTACGTAATGGGCACAGGAATGAAAAGTTGTGCAGCCTTGCAGCAGGTTGTGCTGGTTGTGGCAAATGCATTCTGTGGGAAACAATAGCAGAAAGTAGCTAGGCTTTCTTCTAAAATGTGTTTGTATTTTAAATGAAAGAGTAATTACCCAGGAAAGACTGTTTCAGTAAGTAACAGTCAGCCTGATTCTTCATTCAGTAAGAGACAAAGCTTCACAGACAGATCGTGTGAAGTGGGCTAAGAATACAGAAACATCAAATTGTTGAATAAGGAGGATTGGAAAGGTCTCTGGATGTTCTATCCCCTTGCTCAAAGCAAGGGCAAATTCCAGCTTAGAGCAATTTGCCCAGAGTTGTATAGTGTCAAGATTCCAGTATTCCTGGCAAACATTGTAACTTCAGAAAGAATAAACCCAGTGCTTTAAAAATAGACTGTGGGACTTTGATTTGATCTCGAATCATTAGGATTTTTTTAGATAACTTCAAAGAGGCTAGATCAGTACTATGATTTGCACTAAGGGATTTATACTTGACTCTTCTCTGGAGGCCAAGGCTAGAAAGAGTCAATGAAAATTGCAGTCTAGTATTAATAAAAATCCCAACATAAATGGAATATTTGAACATGAGATAGGGAAACACCTTCACATGACATCCTGTAATAATGTAGCTGGAAAAGAGAAGAAGGCAGAACATGAACAGGCAGAATATGAACACACAGCTAAAAAAAGTGCCAGTTTTCAGCTCCAGGCCTAACAGTATAAATGGATATGAGGAAGGAAAAAGGTAGAAAAGCAAAAAGACAGAATCATCCAAAAATGTGATAGGACTGAAAAGGTAAAGAATAGATATGATGAGAATAGCATGAATAAGAATTAATGGTTACATTATATTTTTTCCAGGAAAACATTTATAAATACAGAATAGTAAGCACTAATGAAACTACAAAATGTAAAGAGAAATTCAGCATCTGACTTAGCCAAAGAAGGAAGTTTACAATCACTGATATTTAATACTAATAGATACATTTTGAATAGACTATGTGAAAAGAGAAGCATGATGAAAGTGGCTTTCTTGTACGTGCAGTAAAATAAATTTGAAAATAATTTGCATAATAGCTATAGGCAGAAACCAAAATAACAGGATTGCTGCTTTCTGGAAATTAATGATCCCATTTTACTACTCAAGACAGCAAGAGTTGTGACTTCTTATTGGTAATGCAAAATTCAGCCACCTAAAGGGTGGTTAAATGAAGGAAATTCTGTCAGTTTTTCTTCCTATCTTTCCTCAAAGGAGCATTCAAGCAGAAATGATAAATGTGTGAATAGAATTGTTTGGAAAGTGGTCTACTTTTTTGTGAAAACTTGGAATTATTTGTTCAAAGATTGACAACAAAACACAAAGATTTTCAGTGCAGGTGGTATCAGAGACAGCTTACGATTTTCCATGAGAAGCAGACACGTTTTCTGTTTGGCTATACAATAATCTAGTTTTATGCCATAAGACACTGCTTGCCAGTCTTAACTGTGAAGCATTTGCATGTTAGTTATTCTAATTCACCGCAGGTATGGAAAACTAAAGACACTTTGAACTTTCTTGAACTTTCAAAGTTCAAGACCATAGCTTTGTTTGTTGGCTTTACTTCTGCTTTCTCAGTGATGCTTTTCCTTTTGCTTCTGCCTTTTGCAGTGGTGCTTTGCCCTCCTGTTGGTTGGCATTTCATTTCGTAGGTCCATTGTGTGGCTTCTCCAGCCTGGTAAGTTAGCTTCTTGTGACATTTTTATGTGCCTAAAAATCATTCAGATTATAAACTCTTTATGAAATAAAGAGTTCTATCAATGAATAAGGAAACTCCAAGTGCGACAAGGATAAAGGACAGATTATAAAAGACCTAGTTTTGTCAGAAAATGTCTAGCTTGTACATTCTGAGAATGGTGGAGCAATCTTTTTGTGGTTGTGTACCACAATAGAATACACCACAAGGATAGTCACAATACCAATAATAAAAATCATTGTAAGGCAGAGCTAGAAACTTGAAGCACTGAAGAAGTTGGAAAAGGTTTAAAAAAAAAAAAAAAAAGTAGATTGGAGAGGAGCCCCTATTTGTTTTTTCTTTACTGTGTTACTAACCTATATTGTGCAGGAAGACAGATAATAGAATTTTTTTTCAAGGGTAGAAGGAACAAGAGACCCATGAAAGAGACATTGCAGTACCTGGTGGAGAGCAGATAAAATCTCTTGACAGAAGTAGCACACTGCTGGAAAGAGAGACTTTTCTGTCATGTCCTTAAAAAAGGCACAAATACCTGAACGTTAGGAGTGAATAAAAATTGCCAAAGGAAGAGAAAAAAATGCACGTTTTTGGTAAACATAAACCAAACTTTTACTAAAATAAATAATGAAGAAATAATAATTTACCGAAATAGTCACTTTTTTCATATTCCATTAGCCTGCATTTTTTTGCAGGCCCAGAGAACTGGACAAAGCAGCTAGACCCCAGCTGCTCTGCCTGTGAATGAGTTTAAGAGGGTGCAAAATACAGTGCAGCACCCATCGTTCTGAGAACACAAGTGCTTGATTGTAGGAGAGGGAGTCACAAATGACTGCTTAGGTTGCATCTTCTGCTGAGAATTTCATAGGATGAGAGAATCAAAGCTACTCATGAGTCCAAAAGAAATGTGTGCAGAGTGAGGCGAATTTTTATCACCATGACTGCTATATATACCTCATATGTCAGAGAAGAAACTATAGGTGAATAGAATAGCCTTAGAGGAGAACACCTTATAAGTGCAGGTAAGCAAGAAGAGTTAAGCTTATAAAAAGCTTCTTTGTTTTCCCTTCTACAGCTATTCACTTTTTTTTTATATTCTTATTACTTTTTCTCTCCACACAGAAATTCCAGATTGTCTTTTTTACATGGATGCCTGCCTTGTAGTAGAGGAATTGCAGCACAGCATCCCTAGCAGAAGCTGAAAATGGATGACTCCTACTGATGCTTTTTGACAATTCATCTCTTCCTTTCCTGATTGACATGGGTGAAATGATTATTGGGAAAAAGAATTAAAAATAAGACCCAGTGACATAATTATCTATCGACTCCCCTTGCCCCAAGTGTGAAACCATCAGAAGAAATGACCACTCAACCAGCAGAGGAGTCTGTGGAGCCCCAGAGCTCAGATGAGCTCGAGTGCAAGATCTGCTACAACCGCTATAACCTGAGACAGAGGAAACCAAAGGTGCTGGAGTGCTGTCACCGAGTATGTGCCAAATGCCTCTGCAAGATCATAGACTTTGGAGACTCTCCTCAAGGAGTCATAGTGTGCCCGTTCTGTCGGTTCGAAACCTGCCTGCCAGATGACGAGGTTAGCAGTCTTCCTGATGACAACAACATCCTTCTGAATTTAGCTTGCGGGGGAAAGGGGAAGAAGTGCCTGCCAGACAACCCAACAGAACTGCTGCTCACCCCCAAAAGGCTGGCGTCCCTGGTTAGTCCCTCTCACACCTCTTCCAACTGCCTGGTTATAACGATCATGGAAGTACAACGAGAAAGCCCCCAGACCCTGAACTCAACGCCCGTGGTGGAGTTTTACAGGCCGACGAGCTTTGACTCTGTTGCAACTGTATCCCACAACTGGACCGTGTGGAACTGCACATCTTTGCTCTTCCAGACTTCAATTCGGGTGCTAGTTTGGTTGCTAGGGCTGCTGTACTTTAGTTCCTTGCCCTTAGGGATTTACTTGCTGGTATCTAAGAAAGTCACCCTTGGGGTTGTCTTTGTAAGCCTCGTTCCTTCAAGCCTTGTCATTCTTATGGTTTATGGCTTCTGCCAGTGTGTTTGTCACGAATTTCTGGACTGCGTGTCTTCTTGATGACAAATAACAGTGAAATAAGATGTGTTGCCATCTATGTAGCATAGTTAATTTAGCCTTTCTTAGTATTATTTATTCATATTATTGTACATCCCACTAAACGGAAGCAATGTCTCTACTTTTATGGTCCTTTTATTTCTATTTGGTTTTTGATTTGATATTTATTATCTTCTCAAGTTTTTTTTTTAAAAAAGCTAACTAATGGAAATAAAATCTATGGGCTGATTTTAAAAGGCCATATTGTAGAGAGGGATCAAGCAAAATTGCCAAACTTGATGCCTGCTGCACCGCCCTTAGTCAAATAAGTAACCATTTGCCTTCCGTTGGCTTCCTCACGTGAGTCAAGACTGCAGGATCGGTCCTGGAAGAAAGGAGTACATGGGGCAGCCTGTAGGTCAAAGGAGGGCATCTCTCCAGCCAAAGCATCTCATGCTTCGAAGTAGCTGTTATTTTTAGCTGCTAGTGAATTAAATCACTTTCTTAGTAGTATAAAAAGAGTAAGAAACTTTAATATTGCTTTTTCCAGTTCTTATTACAGCAGAAATATTTGTGGGAGACCAGTGATTATGGACTCCTGCATCTTGGGCATGGGGAATATAATTTTTCCCCCATGCTAGGCACAGCCTCCAAAACACTTTCCCCAAACTGGAACCCCCACCATTTCCCGCTCTGGTTGCAGCTCCCTCTGAGTTACTCCTAATGATAAGAACCCTCAGGGACCCAGCTTTACACTCTCCTCTAGATGCACTTTTTATCCCCCCCTTTTTTTTTTTAAGGGTGCATCCACCTTGGGCTTCCCCTCGCGGGTTCAGAGCTCTGTAGCCTTTCCCAGCTCTCTTCTCCTTTCACATCCCTGCCCTCCGAGTACTTCCATATCCAGACCACGCGCCTGCCCAGCAAGGGGCCTGGCTGCCCTTGTGCACATCTGCCCTCTGGAAGCTGCACAGGAGAATTTCCCTTAGGTGACTTGAGCGATCAGGTTAGATCTTCATTCCCCATCTCTGGGAAATGGACCTTTGATGACTAACACAAATTTGAGAAAAATTCTGAAATCACGGGTTTTGGGCCTTTTTTTTTTTTTTTCCTGCTTTCTGAGTTCACATAGTGAGCACGATAAGGAAGTACCATTATTTTGAGAAGGGTTCTGTTTAATGCAAAATGCATCCACGAGTCACCAGAGATCATGGTATGTGCAGAAATCAGTGTAACCCAACAGGTTGCGTTCAGAGGAATTACTGGTTTGCCATTCCTCAAGGACAATCAGGCCCTATAAGATTTCTCGGTATGTTCAGGCTATATCTTAAACTAGTGGAAGAATACAAACCTAAAAAGGAAATATTTGACGTTTATGTGCAACTAGATCTAGTCAGTGCCATAATTAAAAATCCATTTTCCTGTGCACAACAGAATGAAAAATGACAAGGAGCAGTTGATCGGTGCAAACAAGGCTTTTGGATCAGGCACAAGACGTGGTATTTTCAGTATTGTGCCAGAGGGAGAAAGGAGTCATGGTGTGAAGACTAAAAGTACAAGCTAACAATATTCCCAGAGCATGTTAACTTTGGTGAAAGGAAAGCATTAAGTGGGTGGTGTGTTTGTCTAGAGGACTTGAGTCAAGCTGGACCAATTTTTGTAGATGGTACACACAATATCAACAATTTTCCATCCTGTTACAAACATAGGAAAATCATGTGGAAAGCTAAAGGTCCTGCTTTCATTGACACTTGAGTTTATAATAGCGCACAGATACATGTACATGTAGATGCACATATGCAAGAAGAAAACATCTAGCAAGATTATAGTTTTCAAGTGTATGAAGCTACAGAGCTATGTGCTGAATGAGTAAAGGTAACGTTTTAGTCTTTTCTGTAATCACCTGCTAATGATTAGAACTAAAATATTTTCCGAAGTCCTAGAAATGACTATTCCTAAGTAATTGTTTTTAATGCTTGTGGTAAAGTACACGTGGTTAGAAGAGTTGTCATCTCCAGTCTTGGTATACTGCAAGGTGTGAACTCATAAATCAAATCATAAATCAAGATCTGTGCACTCATAAATTTTAAGCATCCGAACACAATCATGTCAAAAAAGAAAGAATAATAGAAAACTCTGTTTTTTTAGTACTTCATAACTTTGGAGAAAATATGTATTTGTAGTGTTAGGGGATTTATATACTTTAGGGTTTGTTCAATATGTCTCAATATATTATCTCTAAATAAAGGGCTGGCTGAAAGAGGAAGTAGATTCTGAAACTGTGTGACATATATATCTTACCTCTGCACAACATGTCTGCACTGCTGGATATTTTTGTGGGTTTTGGTTTTTTTTTTTTTTTTTTTTTTACTTCAGGTGGATGATAATTTTCTCACCTCCAGCACCAGATATTTTGTACTCGGTTTTAAGACAGAGCCTAATCTCTGTGTTATAATCTGTTTTAAAATGGAGCCTGATCTCAGAAGAATTGTAGTTCTAGTTGACACTAGTTATTATACTTCACAACTATTATTACAGCTACACATATACTATTATAACATTATCACAACTAACTAGTTGGCACTGGTTGATATACTTCACCACGTCTAAGACTGCTAACCAGTTAAATTTACATTGCTATTTTAGACTATGTCACAATACTAATGCTCTCAAAAATGTGAGTGCAAAAATATGGTGATTGAAGAGCTACTCTGCTACTCGACCACATTGTTACAGCCAAGATCTCGTAAAATTCCTGTATAACTTACGATATGTCCCTTTAGAATTTGCCAGCCGGTCTAAATCCTATTTTTTTGTGACGACAGGAGAAAATACTTGCTCTATAACTGAGGTTAGAAATAATTCAGAAATAATCCTTTTCCTTTCCCTTCCTTTCCCTTCCTTTCCCTTCCTTTCCCTTCCTTTCCCTTCCTTTCCCTTCCTTTCCCTTCCTTTCCCTTCCTTTCCCTTCCTTTTTTTTTTTTTTCCCCTATTCTGGGCTATCTAGAAGGCCTAGAACAGAAACCCCATGATTCTTGTTTCATTGGCGGTGTAATAATTCTGCTGAAGTCACTGTTGTTCCTACTTCACCCAGACACGTAACTCAACAAGGTGCAAAGTGTTGTTGACTCATGACCACAGAATTATTTTAGCCCAAGTGAGATGTTTTGTTTTTAATTCCCACCTACCCTATGGATATGGACTATATCCTCTCCAAGTGCTGATTTCCAGTGTGATGCAGTGGTGTCACCCAAGGGCTGAGGCTGAAGGATGCAGTGGGAGCCACCGGACCCGTATGGGAAGGACGTGCTGAGCTGGGCCACCTTCACCTGAACAGGACCCCACGATGGATGGAGCTCTTGTTTAAGCGTGGCTGAACTTGGAGCCTGAAGACCGAGGGACCAAGGGCAGGTTACATGGAAAGCAGAGGGTGAGGGAGGAAAGAGACTGGGCAGGAAGCTTCAGGGCTGCAACTTGTGGCTCAGGGCTGTGACTTGGGGGTTGAGGGGGAAAGGAGCAGGGTGTGGGACCAAGAGCCGAGTTAAGGGACATCTGGACATCTGCAAAGGTGAGGAGGGACTAGGGGATCACAGGCAGGATGTGGATGGGAAGTGGAGAGGTCGCTGCTTGGGAAGAGACTGTCCTTTTTTTTAAAAAAAAAAAAAAAAGAAAAGTCACCTGGTACTGCTAGCATGCTTAAATGTTTTTACTATATAAACAAGAAAGTATTAGACTTTATAATGTCCTTCCCTCTACGATGCTAACTGTTTAAAGATCTTGATCTTACAAACAGGACTGACCAAAATAAGGGCTCATGTCTTTGTTTTAGCTGTATTCTGAACTCTGTCCTACTATATTAAGTATAGAAGTACTATAGATCTGCAAAACTAGATATACGAATATAAAATACTTAAATTAGGCGAAATCTTGTCCTCGTAACAGTGCTGGCATGCTTCAGGGTTGCCACACTTCCATGATACGATTGTGAATCGATTCTCTTCCCAATGGGCTTTATAACCAGAAGACCCAATGAGTCCAACAGACCCAGCTGACCAGGCAAGTGCAGTACAGGGAAACAAAGCTGGGGGGCCAGCTGAGCAGCCACACTCCACCCGAAGCACACAAAGGGGAACCAAGGAGGCTTTGCATTTGCTGGTTTTGCTTTTGAGGGGTTTTCTCGTTTTTAAGGTATAGAACCATTTTTGTTTGTTCATTTTTTTTTTCCCTTTGTTGATTTATTTTTTCCCTAGGGTTACATTCAGCTCACTTAAAAGTGCAGATTTCCCTTGGTCGCTTAGTAGCTCTTAGGTAGCTCTTGCTGTCCATTCCAGCCCCTGGCCATGTTTACCCATGATTTTCTTCTGCTGAGCTGAGACCAGGGCTTTATGCAACTGCAGGTAAGCAACATTCTGTAATGAAACAACCTTTCCTACTACACTGAGTTTGCTGCTCAGTCCAATAAAGTGAGGTTAAACCTGAAAAGATTGTAGTTAGTGTCTGGTTCAAAACTAGCAGGAGTCTGTCCCAAGCCCCAGGACCATCGTGACGTGACGTTCTCCCCTGCATCACCTGGGAAGGCCTCTGATAGTTTGCTGGAATTGCAGTTCTTGATGTCTTGTGTAGCAGCTGTAAGTCCCTATTTCATCTTCTTTTCAGATGGATGAGTGTTCCACACTTCAGCAGGATTATTTTAGCTATTTTAAAGGTTCTCTGATTTTATTACAGGATTTCTTCCTATTTTTACAAGGCAAGATGCAATCCCTGATGCCTGAGCTATTTATTTTAAATAGTTCAGTGCCTTCAGGGAAAAAAAAATGAAGGAGAAAGAAAGAAAAGTAGGAATTGTGGAATCATTTAAAGATATTTGAAGTTCTGAAAGACACTCATCCTTTTTTTAGAATCAACTTTTATATTAGCAGATTAAATGTTATCCTTTGAGTACCATTTAGTGCTGGTGATGCCTCAGGGAGTTCAGGGTTTTGTCAGACTTAGGCACAAAGCCTGTTACTCTGTAAAGCACCATTCTTCCTTTTGTATCACTTTGCCTTATCAAAAGCTGGATCTTCACAGCTTAAGGATCTCTGGCATAGAAAATAAATCCCTGGTAGTCCTTACCTGTACAAATGCAAGCTGACACCTGAAAATGAAGTACTTTACACATGCTGCATATTTTTTATGACTAAAGGGTTAGGGTTTTTTTAATGGCTGTATTTCATGCCTTGATAACAATTGCACAAGACTGGGTTTGGTCCTTCAGCAGTCTTAGTCATCGTCCTGACAGTAACAAAGCTTTCAGTGCTAGACCTTAAACAAGGCGGAGTCGTCATGGAGTTTGAGCTGCTAGCATAAATTCCAGTTTAAATCAAGTTTCATTGTGTTTGGCAACACTACAACTAAAACCCTCTTCTTGAATTTCTGCCTCTTTCTTGTGTTATACAATATGGTTTGCATTTAAAATAAAAATGTATCAAATAGTAGAAATCAGAGATGGCAGAAAAAAAGCCTAGTAAATCTTTTTTTTTTCCCCATTTCCTCAGCGCCTTAGAGATGAATGCTTTGTCTAGTCTGATTTTAAATAACTGATGAGGCCCCCACCTCTTCCCTTGAGGAAGTTCTCAGTCATTTAATAGACATCT